CATCATCATCATCATCATCATTATCAACATAGGACCAGGCATTACTGCGTAACGGTCCGAGTTGCCACACCTCATATCAGCACATCAAGTAAAAAGGTAGTGAGGTGAAGGATGAAGATAAGTGAATGCAGTCAAAAGAAATATAAAGTACGAGAAGAAAGGAAAGAGGAGTGACAAAATAGTGAGATTCGGTATAGCGTTGTTAAGATGAGGATAATGTGTGTATACATCTGCGCCACTGACTTCGGTTCTGAGCCATATCACCTAGGGTCTCCAACCACTGGTTCCTCTTGTCCCGTGGACCCCAACCACCTAGTCTGCATCGTCCTACATGGCTTAAACCAACAGTCAGAGACTTCATACATTGGTGCCATGTTTTAGTCTGGCCACCTCGGGCCTTTTTCCAGCCTGGACCCACCTCAGCCAACATTGTGTGACGAGGCAATCGGTGACTAGGCATACGTAGTACGTGTCCCAACCATCTCAGTCGATGAAGGTTCACAACCTCGTCGACTGACTTACCTCTTCTCCCCAAAACTCTACACCTAACTTCTGCATTACTCACATGGTGACACCACGGAATACGTCCTATACTACGAAGGCAACGGTGGTCAAACACCTGAACCCTTTCATGTCTTCCACTTTCAATGGCCATGTTTCACAGCCATACAGTAGAACAGAGCGGACTGCTGTGCAGTACACGCGACCCTTAATAGACAAACGAATATCACGGCGGCGCCATAGGTGGCGCAAATTGGCAAAAGCCAATCGAGCCTTTTGTATCCGTGCAGAAATCTCATCGGCAACTAACCCACCAGGGTTGATCCTACTTCCCAGGTAAGTGAAGTGGTCAACACACTCAACCACTTCACTCTCTATTGTTAACCGCGGTACCGCTGAAGACCAGTCCTGGAGCAAAAATTTGCATTTGGGTGGTGAAAATCGCATCCCAAACATTCTCAAATTCCCACTCAAAGTGTTCAGAAGACTCTGCATCTTGTCAGCGTCTTCACCTAACAGGACTATGTCATCTGCATATTCTAGATCTAAGGAAAATTCACCTGTGATCGGTCAACGTTTTTGTAATTAGGTGACGAGAGGGAAACCTCCATAAGAATATCTATGATAAAATTAAATAAGAATGGGGATAGTGGGCATCCTTGACGGACACCACTTGATGAGTATAGCTCCCTGGACAACTCACCATAGGCTCTAACATGCCCACAAGTGTTCGAGTAGAGAGCTTTCAATAAGGTGATGTACTTACTAGGCACGCCTTTCAGTGACAGACACTGCCATAAGACTTCTCGATCAACGGAGTCAAATGCCGCCTTCAGGTCGAGAAATACAGCTATTGTCGGGCGTCTGTAAGCATGCCTATGTTCCAGGACCTGGCGCAGTGTGAATATTTGGTCGATACATCCACGGCCAGGTCTAAAGCCTGCCTGGTTTTCTCGGGCTTGCTGTTCCCGAGCTCCACTCAGGCGTCGGAGAATTATAGAACTTAGGATCTTAGACACTATGTTTGTCAGGCTGATTCCTCTGTGGTTATCACAAGAGGACTTCTCGCCTTTCTTGAAGACTGGGATGATGAGTGACTTAGACCAGTCGGAGGGGATCGTATTTGATTCCCATATACTGGCTAACACTTCCGTTAGCCTGACTAAGAGAACTCTACCACCATTCTTGTATACCTCAGCAGGTAGTCCGTCTGGTCCTGCTGCCCTTCCCGTTTCAGGCTACCTACCGCTTTCTCAACTTCTTCTAGTGTTGGGGGACCTGTCTCTATGTCCCATTCAGGGTCCGACTGGATAGCGGGCAGCGCAATGGTGGCTGGAGGCCAGTTAAACTGTTCCTCAAAGTGTTCTGCCCATCGTCCCAGTCGCCTTCCCTGCGAGTGAATCGCAGATCCGTCCTTCTCCGCTATAACCTCACTAACTGTTGTTGACCATTTCCCCCCAGTCTCCTTAATAAGTCTAAATAACTGTCTACTGTTACCGATCGCCGCTGCCTTTTCCATCTCTTTAGCCTTTGCTGCCCACCACTGTTCACGATCGTTGCGCAGACTTTTCGTCAGTTATTTTTAAGTTGCGCTCGCTCTTCATTGTACTCAGAGCCTGCAGGGATGCATTCACGTGCATCCATTAGTTTGGAAGAAGCTGCTGATATCCACTGGCTCTTTTTAGCCATTATCTTGGAGTCGGCTACAGTCTCCAGTGCTGCTTTTACAGTAGACTGAAGATGGCACCAAGCTTCTTCTGGATGAGTGACAGTCTTTTGTTCCGATAACTGCCTAGCCAACTTCTCACTGAACACGGCTTTGGTGTTTTCGTTGTCCAGCAGAACTCGTAGTGGTTTTGTTGCCAAATTTTTTCTACGTCCATTGAGACGCAGGCATATACGTGCTCGGACCAACGCATGATCGCTGTCCAAACACGTACTCCAGAAGGAGCGGCAGTCTTCCACCGATCCTCTCCAGCGATGACTAATAGCAATGTGGTCTATCTGTGTCCATCGCTGAGTCGAGCTCGGTGGACGCCAGGTCAGACAGTGCCTTTCTTTATGTCTGAAATTTGTGCTGGCTAAAAATAGGCGGTTATCTGAGCATAGTTGTAATAGGCGATCACCGTTATCTGTACGTTCAGCTGGGATTCCGAAAGTGCCACCTAAGTGCCTTTCTGCCTCACTCAGTCTACCCACCTGTGCGTTGAGGTCACCTGCAACAACCACTACGTCCGAACGTTTGGCTTTCGAGAGGAGGTTAGACAGTTTATGGTAGAACTCGTCCTTCACTTCATCCGAACTACAGTCAGTGGGTGCGTAAGCAGAGATTACAAAGAGACAACGGCGAGTCTCACTATTCCTTTTAGTTCTCACTGTGCCGTTCAGCCTCATAGCGCAGAGGCGACTATCAACTGGGATCCAGTCTAGTAGTGAGTTTTCTGCCCTGGTGCTTAATGCTATACCTACACCTGCAAGACCACGAGAGCTAGCTATCGAATCTCCAGAAACTCGAAGGGTGAATTTTGCAGATTCACCAGATTGGTCAGGAGAGGTCAGGTGAATAACCACACTTGGGTCCTGTATGCGTGTCTCACAAACACAGCACACATCCATGGCCCGAGTTGCTAGAGTCTTTGCCAACGAAGCCTGTTGGCCAATTTGACGGAGGGTGCGGACATTGAAGGCTCCAATATGTAATTTGGAGCGTGGTTTAAGGAGACCAGGGATGCTGTTCTGTGGACTCAGATCGTTGTCGAAGGCTGCAGAGGTAGGAGAAATTGAAGATGATGCAGCATCATTAATTAAGAGACGTGAAGGAAGATTAGAAGGTAATGATGGAGGAGGAGGATAGCAGTCAGAAGAAACTTGGGTGCTGACAGAGTTGTGAGGGCGGTTGACACTTCCCGGCTGCCCACACCGTGGAAGGCTATTTCTTCTTAAGGTACCTGAAAGAGATTTGTGTGACCGCAGAGCCCATCGGACATCTGCTTGAGGCCTGTCACACCCAGCCTTTTGAGTATGATTATTTTGAACTTTTGTATTTTTGGGGCCGGATGGTCGAAAGGAAACGACAAGTGAACCAACACCGCCGGCCCGGCAGACCGTGGGGCGTGGTGGAGTGTGTTATTTTTGGGGCCGACCTTTTCTAACCCCCCCTTCCACTGAGAAGGCAGCATCAGCATGGCACTGCTGGTCATCCAAGGGAAACACCTTACTGCTGTCACACCCCATCCAGCTAGCAGCAGTACGACTTCGCCCTCAGACCCCCATCATAGTGTAGCAATTTACACTATAACGGTAACTGCTTTTCGTCTAACCACTACCCAACAGACCTTTCTGGTATGGTAGGACCTCGAGGGAACAAGCGTTCCACCAGCATAGCTCGTTGGGTCATTGTGATATGCAAGCCGGACCACCACGTCAAGGTAGCAGCTGTCGGTCGGGTACATCTGTGACGAAGTTGAATCGGAACTGTGACGATGAGTGTCCCTGGCGGACACCATTCGTTGTCGTCATGACAACTCTCCATAAGCCCTGACACGGCTGCGTGAGTTCGAGTAGAGAGCTCTAATTAGCGTTATATGCTTGCTAGGTATGCTTTTCATAGTCAGACAAGTGACGGTCGACAGAGTCAAGTGCCGCCTTTAGGTCAAGAAATATGGCAAGTATCAGCCGCCAGTAGGTATACTTGTGCTCCAGAAGCTATCGTGGGGTATTCATATGATGGACGCACCCTCGTTCATGTCTGAAACATGCCTAATTTTCTCGAGTTTGTTGTTCTCGAGCTCCAGTTAAGCATGGGATAACTATGAACTCGAGAATCTTGGATACAATATTAGTCAAACTAGTTCCCCTATGGTTGTCACAAGATTTCTCTCCCTTCTTATAGACTGGAATGATCAGTGAAACAAACCAGTCTGAAGTCACTACCCATGAATCCCAATACACTACCTAGTACCTCCGTCACTTTAATCAATAATTTCCTACCTCCATCCTTGAAAACTTCAGGTGACAGACTATGAGGTCCTTCCGCTTTGCATCATTTCGTGCTCGATAAATCTTTCTCAAATTCGAAGAGATTTGAAGGATTGACATCTGCGTACCATTCAGGTTGAGGCTGGATGTTGGGCAACTAAAGCGTTGCTATGAACTAGTTGAACTGTACTTCAAAGTGTTCTGCCCGATGTTCTGGCGGCCGTCTGTCAGGGGAGGTTATTAACGTCTCATCATTTTCGGTGATGGTTTCACTCACCATCGTTTTCTTCTTGTGGGTATCCTTAATAAGCCTAAATAGTATTACCCACCATAGCTCGCGGTTGACGCGAAGACTTTTGATAAACTTAAGTTTTTCTCGCTCTTCGTCATGGTTAGAACCAGCTGGAATCACTCTACTCGCATCGGTCAGTTCGGTTGACGTCGTGAAAATCCAGTGACGTTTGTTAACCTTCTGGTGTAGGTTAAGAATGGTCTTTACCTCTGTTTTTACAGCAGATTTGATGTCACGCAAGGTGTCCTCAGGGTAACCATTGCTGTCGTGGTTTGATAAATGCTTGGCTACCGCTTCCTTAAATACAGACTTGATATTTTCATCGTCTAATCGACCATAGACAGACTTTACCACCGCTTGTTTGCTGCGACCAGTAAGGTGCAGACATACACGAACTCTTACTAGCACTTCGTGGGACTTCGAACTGGTACTCCAGAAAGAGAGGCAATTCCCTACCGATCATCTCCAACGATGACTTATGGCAGTATATCTATCTGTGTCCATTATTGGTTTGATTCAGCGGACGCCATGTTTGGCAGTGTCTCTCTTGATGCGTAGTATTAGTGTTGGTCAACAAGTGATTATCGGAGCGAAATTGCAACACGGTTACGGTTGTAGGTTCTTTGGCATGGTATTCCGAGATACCTCTAAAATATCTTTCCGATTGACTCAGCTCCTCTAATTGAGCGTTAAAGTCGTCTGGTATTAAGACACCACCTTAAAGTTTTCCTTTCTGTTGAAATCTCATAGAATTGATCCGAACTGCAATTGGTGGGTGCCTAGGCGGTGATTACAAATAGACACCGGTTGGTCTCACAATCCTTCTTAGTCCTTATAGGTCCATTCAGTCAAACAGCACGTAGATGGCTGTTGACTAGATATCCAGTCGAGAAGTGGACTTTTTCCATACAGCTCAGTGATATGTGTACACCAGCGAGTTCACGAGAGCTAACCACTGGGTCTCAGGACCCTCTTAGGGTAATTTTGCAGTTTCATTACTATGGCTAGGTGAGGTCAGTTAAATATCCGGACTCAGGTGTTGTATACATGTCTCTGAGATATAGCATACATCCATGGCTAGAGATTCCAGAGTTGTGGAGAGCGATACTTGGTGTCTTGTTTGATATAGAGTTCGAACGTTGAGAGCTCCTACGTGAAATCAATGGTGAGATCTTAGGAGTCTGGGAATTAGGTTCCGATGGCTTTGACCGTTGACAGTGGTTGCAGAGTCAGGTTGGGAAGGCGTAAAAGGCACACCATTAGCATCAGGAGGTGAAGGTAAAGTACGAGACATAGTTAAGAAGGATAGGTTATATTCGATTGGGTTTTGTGTACTACTGGGAACGTGTGGGCGGTTGACACTTCCAGGCTGCCCACACCATGGAAGGCTATTTCTTCTCAAGGTACCTGAAAGAGATTTGTGTGGCCGCAGAGCCCATGGAACATCTGCTTGATGCCTGTAACATACCGCCTTTTGTGGTATGTTGTTTTGAGGTTGGGTTGTTCTAGTACCAGATAGAAACCCACACTATGGGCGTTGGAAAACCGTAAGGCAGGGTCGAGTATATTATTATTTGGGCCGACCTTTTCTAACTCCCCCTTCCTGTTGGAAAGGCAGCATCGACCTGGCGCTGCTGGTCATACAGGGAAACACCTGCTGCAGTACGACTTGGCCTTCAGGCCCACATCGTAGCAGTATTAATTTACACTGCAACGGTAACTGCTTTTCGTGTTACCACCATCCAACAGATCCTTCTGACATGGTGAGACTTCGAGGGAATAAGAGTTCCACCAGTATATCCCATTCTATAGGTGCAACGGTGCTGGTATCTGCAACTCACTGGTTAGAAGACCCTGGACCAATAGGTCACAGCTTCACTGTTGACTATGGCAACGTCTCATTGAAAGGCGTAGTGAGTAAGCATATCACCTTGTTGGAAGCTCTACTCGAACACCTGTGGGCGTGTTGAAGCCTATAGTGCGATGTCAGGTGGGTTATGTACATTGAGTGGTGTCCGTCAATGATGCTCACTCTCTCCGTTCTTATTCAAGTTATCATAGACTTTCTTATAGATGTCTCCTTCTCGTCATCTGACTACGCAGGGATTGGTCTGATCACAGGAGAATTTCGTTAGACCTAGAATAAGCAGGTAACATAGTTCTGTTAGGTGAAGATGCTGACAAGATGCAGAGATTGCTGCAAACCTTTAGTGGCAATTTAAAAGTGTTGTGGGTGCCTTTTTTCACCTGCAAAATGCAGATTGTTACTCCAGGACTGGTCTTCAACGGTGCCCTGGCTAAGAATAGAGAGTGAAGTAGTTGAGCGCATTGAACACTTCACGTACCTGGGAAGTGGGATCAACCCTGGTGGGTTAGTGGCTGACCGAATCTCTACATGGATGCAGAAGGCCCGGTTGGCTTTTACCAACTTACACCATCTATGGCGCCGCCGCGATATCCAGTTGTCTATTAGCGGTTGAGTGTCGATCCATCCAATCAAAATAGGACCAGGCATTACTACGTAACGGTCTGAGTTGCCACACCTCATATCACTACATCAAGTAAAAAGGCATTAAGGTGGAAGATGAAGAAAACAAAATTCGGTAGAAAAAAATATAAAGTACTAAAAGAGAGAAAGGAAGCATGAGAAAATGGTGAGATTCGGTATACCGTTAAGATGAGGATAATGTACGTATACATCTTTGCTGTTGACATCGGTTCTTGGCCATGTCACTTAGAGTCAGGCCCCAACCACTGGTTTTTCTTGTTCCGTGGACCCCAACCGGCTAGTCTGCATCTCCCCACATGGCTCAAACCGAAAGTCAACGACTTTATACACTGATGCCATATTTTAGTCTGGTCGCCCCGGGCCTCTTTACAGCCTGGATGTACTTCAGCCAACGTTCTGCAACGAGACAGACGGTGACTTGGCCTACGTAACACATGTCCCAGCCAGTTAACTCAGTCGATGAACATCCACAACCTCATCAACTGACTTATCTCTTCTCCCTAAAACTCTGCGCTTGACTTCTGCGTTACCCACGTGGTGATGCCACGGGATACGGCCTATACTATGAAGGTAACGATGGTCAAACACCTGAAGCCTTTTCATGTCTCCTACATTTAATGGTCATGTTTCACAGCTATACGGTAGAAGAGAGCGAACTGAGGTGCAGTACACGCTACCCTTAGTAGAGAATCGGATATCACGGCGGTGACACAGGTTAGGGTAAGTTGGCAAAAGCCGGCCGAGCCTTTTGTGTTCGTGCAGAAATTTCCTCTGCCACTGAGCCACTGCGGCTGAACCTGCTTCGCAGGTAAGTGAAGTGGTCGACACACTCAACCACTACACTCTCAATTGTTAGCCGAGGCACCGTTGAAGACCAGTCCTGGAGCAAGAATTTGCATTTGGGTGGTGAGAAACACATTCCAAACATTCTGAAATTGCCACTCTAAATGTGCAGAAGACTGTGCATTTTGTCAACATGTTCACCTAATAGAACTATGTCATCTATGTATTCTAGGTCTAACGAAAATTCTCCATTGATTAGGTCAACCTCTGTGTAGTCAGTCAGGTGACGAGAGGGAAACCTCCATAAGAATATCTATGATAAAATTGAATAAGAATCGAAAAAGTGAGCAACCTTGACGGATACCACTCGATGAGTACAACTCCCCGTACATCTCACTATAGGCTTCAACACGCCCACAAATGTTCGAGTAGCGAGCCTTCAATAAGGTGATGTACTTACTCGGCACGTCTTCAGTGGGAAAAATTGCCATAAGACTTCTCGATCAACGGAGTCGAATGCCGCCTTCAGATCGAGAAATATAGCTGCTGTTGGGCGTTGGTAAGTGTGCCTGTGTTCCGAAACCTAGCACAGTGTGAATGTTTGATCGATACACCCTCGACCGGGTCTAAAGCCTGCCTTGTTTTCTCGGGCCTGGTGTTCCCCAGCTCCAATCATGCGTCGAAGAATTATAGAACCCAGAATTTCAGATACTATTTTCCTCAGGATGATTAACCTGTGGTTATCTCAAGAGGACTTCTCACCTTACTTGAAGACTGGAATAATCAGTGATGTAGACCAGTAAGGGGGGATCGTATTTGATTCCTATATACTATTTAACACTTCCGCTAACGTGACTAAGAGCACTGTATTACCATCCTTGTATACCTCAGGAGTTAGTTCATCTGATCGTGCTGCCCTTCCTCGTTCCAGGTTACCTACCGTTTTCTCGGCTTCTGCTAATGTTGGGGGGCGTATCTCTATGTTCCATTCAGGATCCGAGTGGATAGCAGGGAGCGCAATGGTGACTGGAAGGCAGTTAAATTGTTCCTCGAAGTGTTCTGCCCATCATTCCAGTCGTCTCCCCTGTGAGAGTGAGTCGCAGACCCGTCCTCCGCTATGGTCTCATTAGCTGTTGTTGATTTTCCCCCCAGTCTCGTTAGTAAGCCTAAATAGCTATCTTCTGTTACCAATCGCCTCTGCCTTTTCTACCTCTCTAGCCTTCGCTGTCCACCACTGTTCGCGGTCGTTGGGTAGACTTTTCGTCAGTCTACTTTTAAGTTGCGCTCCCTCTTCATTTTACTCAGAGTCTGCAGAGATGCGTTCGCGTGCATCCGTTATTTCGGAAGAAGCTGCTGATATCCACTGTCTCTTTTTAGCCACTCTTTCGGAGCCGGCTACGGTCTTCACGTCTGCTTTTACAGCAGACTGAAGATGGCACCAAGCTTCTTCTGGGTGAGTGATATTGTTCTGGTCCGGTAACTGCCCAGCCGATTTCTCACTGAAAGCATCTTTGATGTTTTCGTTGTCGCACTGCAATCGTAATGGTTTTGTCGCCAAATATGTCCTACGTCCATTGAGATACAGGGATATACGTGCTCGAACTAACGCGTGGTCGCCATCTACACACGTACTCCAGTCGGAGTGGCAGTCTTCCACCGATCCTTTCCAGCGATGACTAATAGCAATGTTGTCTATCTGTATCCACCGCTGAGTTGAGCTCGGTTGACGCCACGTGGGACAGTGTCTTTCTCTGTGTCTGAAATTTGTACTAGCTAGCCGTCGAGTGTACTGCACCTCAGTTCGCTCTCTTCTACCGTATAGCTGTGAAACATGACCATTAAATGTAGGAGACATGAAAAGGCTTCAGGTGTTTGACCATCGTTACCTTCATAGTATAGGCCGTATCCCGTGGCATCACCACGTGGGTAACGCAGAAGTCAAGCGCAGAGTTTTAGGGAGAAGAGATAAGTCAGTTGATGAGGTTGTGGATGTTCATCGACTGAGTTAACTGGCTGGGACATGTGTTACGTAGGCCAAGTCACCGTCTGTCTCGTTGCAGAACGTTGGCTGAAGTACATCCAGGCTGTAAAGAGGCCCGGGGCGACCAGACTAAAATATGGCATCAGTGTATAAAGTCGTTGACTTTCGGTTTGAGCCATGTGGGGAGATGCAGACTAGCCGGTCGGGGTCCGCGGGATAAGAGAAACCATTTTCTCATTCCTCTTTCGTTCTTTTTTCAAGTCTCTGTTTCTTTTGACCGATTTTCTGTGTTTTATTGGTAATATCTTTTGATAAGTTAAAAAAATTATTTTGGATAAGACGTTGTTAAGTTCACTCTCTTACCGAATTTAGATAAAATTCTTCGAGATATCCGTTTCATTATCAAGGGCCTCATCAACAAGTGAATCGACTAAATCGAAGGTGTACAATTTCACTTCACAATTACAATCATTAACTGATAAAAGGTAATAAAAATTGAGGCGTTTAATATTAATTTGCTTTTTTTTTCAGTAAAAATATTCTAATGAATCAAAATCCTTACCAGCCACCACCGGATGTTGAATCACGAATTCAGCTTTAAGTGAAAAACTGTTCAATATTAACCCATTGAATAATAATAATGGTGACTGGAAGACGTATCGTTTTCAGGACAATGCTGAAAAATACAAGGTATGTTGTAATTGAATTTTGGAGGAGTTGTGGGGATTTAGAAATATTCCAAGTTGTTATTCATCGTAGACTGACATCAGTTGGAGGGACAATAGAAACCTGGGAGTGCCGGACAGCTGTTTCGTCCTAGTCTGGGACTCCTCAGCAGTGCACCGCCCGCGACTCCGCCATGGATCGAACCCGAGACCTCCAGGTCCCGTGGCCGGCATGTTACCATTGAGCCACTGGGTCGGAATCCAGTGGTCCTTATTTCCAACTTCCGTCAGTTCACGACATGGCGCAACCGCCACCCAATGTCGTCGTTGAGTAACTATCCTCACGACTATCAGGCTAGACCCACTAGTCATGATTTCTCATTGGAACTTCATGAATCACCTCTCGAAGCTGGTCACCAATGAGCAGCAGTTGAATTGAATTTTGAGGGAGTTGTGTGGATTTAGAAATATTTCATGTTGTTATTCATCATAGGCTGACATCAGTTGGAGGAACAAAGGAAACCTGGGAGCACTGGACAGCTGTTTCGTCCTAGTCTGGGAATCCTCAGCAGTGCACCACTCACGACTCCGCCAGGGATCGAACCCGTGACCGTGCTGGCCGCGGAACCTGAAGGTCGTGGGGTTCGATCCCTGGCGGAGTCATGGGTGGTGCACTGCTGAGGAGTCCTAGACTAGGACGAAACAGCTGTCCAGTGCTACCAGGTATCCTTTGTTCCTCCAACTGATATCAGTCTACGGTATATTGTAATTATTCATTAAATCATAAAGCTTGTTTTGATTTTCTTTTTCTTCTTGGTAAACAGATATTTACCGCTTGTATCAATGAATTTAAACATACTATTGTGAATAGTCGACTTCATGAGATAAATACTATAAATGATTTAATTGAATATTTTTTAACACCTGTAGATACATTAGATTTTTTATCTAAATTAAAAAGTGATTTACAAAATGATCATAATGGTAAACTACCGCCTAATTTAAATATACAAGTTGAACCAATACGTTATAATCCGAATGAAGATGATTTTTTTAAAGTGAATGCTTATCCTGGACGATCAACAATTGTCAGTAATTTAGCTGCATGTAAAAAGTTTTCAAGTTATCGAGTTAGTCGTACAAAACGTTTACGAGTTGAATATGAAGATATGTAGTGAGTGATATGTACTGAATTCTTTTCATATATAACTATTGTAAATATATATTTATGTATTTCTATGAAATATAATCTATTGTCTTACAAGTTGTTGTTGTCGTTGTTGTTTCTGTTTTTCACTTCTCTCTAATTTTCATGATAAACATACAAAATGATGAGAATCCCTACTGAAAACGTCTTTAATCGGTTAAAATACAAGTTTCTAGGTTGAATTACCATTGACTTAAATGATCGTTTCATGTTTTTAGGAAGTTTGAGTATTGTCTCATTGTGAAGTTATTGAATATTTGTCCGGACACCATCTCTGTTCGATAAGATAAATCAGACTGTGAATATCAGTGCTTCGAAGCATCTAGTTGTCCGTCAAAGATACCCACTGTCGTCACCGTTCCTATTTAACTTCGTTATCGATGAACTAATGAACATAACCTTAGGAACATCTGACTTCACTGGGAGTGATCTGCTTGGACGTCATCTGGTTGACTTAGAATATCTAGACTATATTGTCCGGGTACGTGAAGACGCTGACAAAATGAAAGGTTTTCTGAACGCGTGGAGCAGAAATGGCGAAATGAGTCAATCACCTCACTTACTTGATGAGTTGGATCAGCATGAACGGGTGATCGCTGACGAAATCTCAGCCGGTTTGGCATTTGTCAACTTGTATCATCTGTGGCGTCGACTGGCTAAATATCTGACTGTGTAACAGAAGACGAGTATACTGCGCTGTAATCAGTCCGTTCTATCCTGCTATAAGGCTGTGAGACATGGCCGTTGAAAGTTGTAGTCATGAAGCGGTTAGAATGTTTTGATCATGGGTATCTTCATAGCATTACTCACGTTTGGTAAAGTCACCATGCGATTCGCCTACGTTGACATACCATGCTAGATTGCAAGGCAGTTCAGAGTGGCCAGACTAAGACATGGCACCAGTCAACGAATTCTTTGATGGTTGGTCTGAATCGTGCATAGACGTGTAGACTACGCGAGATGGAAGGAATCAGTGGTTGAGAATTGTTGGTGACATGGCTGGAAATCGTTCACAGTGACATCTTCTAAAGCCTGAACATTTGCACTAACCTTTATCTCCAGATTGCTTATTCTGTCACACAACTTAATCGACTTTCTTATCATTTTTATTCGATCCACCTGTTCTTTGTATACTACAGTGAAGTGTAGCAACTATAGTTGATACACCTGTAAATTGAGCGTCTTGGGTTGTATTCTTTTGTGGAGGTCTTGATAGCCTGCATTGCCCTGCTAGTTTATGTGTTATGCAGATTACTTAAATGGTTCGACATGACAAGCCAACGAATAGATTGTTATTATTCATCCTTTAGGTTCCTAGTGGAACATAGGCTTCAGTAGCACATCTCCATTTCACTCTCTTCTCTCCAGTCTTTCGAACCTGCCTCCACGACTCCTCAGAAGCTTTCGATTCTTCTTCACATAATCTCCTCCATGTCACCCTCACCTCCACACCCAACTCATCGTTTCCCCTTTGGATTCCATTCGAGTACCTGGCGTAGCGCGTGATGTCCCCGAATGGTCTTCTCAATGTATATCCAATCCAATCCATCTCGACTTTCTTCTCCTGTATATTTGTTTGGCGATGGGTTGTTGGTTGGTTGGTTAGTTCGTTGCCAGCCTGCCGGCTACAGTGAGTTCCTTGTTCTTTCTGGTCATCTGATGTTCAGTATGGAGTGAGTGTAGGTGGCAGGTGTTGATGATGTATGTGTGTAGTTTGTTGGAAATGCTTTTCGTAACACACCGCCAAGTTTCTGAACCATCACATGGAAGCACTGACATACTTGACTGAGATTAGTGTTGAGAATTAGGAAGTTGTTCACGCTTTATACTTAGTGGAGTGCAGTAGGTGTGCACACTGACTTCAGGTTAGTGTAAGCTTGTCTTGCTGTCTTTCCGATGGTGGTTTTGACGTCCTCATCTGTGCCGCTACCGTCTGTAGTTGAGAGTATGGTGCGTGGGTAGGTGAAAGAGACTACTTCGTTTAGGTTTCTCTTGTTGATAGTGATTGGTGCTTTTTGTTGTTGTTGGTTGCGTATCTTGATCACCTCTGTTATCTCTACGTCCACCTGAAGGAAGTTCCGTCTTCCTTCGTTGCCTCGCCTCTTTTGCCAACTTGTTAGTTTTCGCCTGTAGATCTTCGAGTTTGTGTGACACAAGATATTAGACATAAATCGTCATCATGGTGGAAATACAAATGTTGTATTGTTCTTTCATGTGTTCAACCAGAATATGCCCATGTTCTTGCTGCTCGTTGTTTTTTTGGGTGTATGATGCAGTGGAGCACAATCAGGAAGATGATGGTTGAAATTAGGTGGCAATTTTGTCTTACTCCTGTCCTTGCCTTTACTTGGAAGGCATCACTGATCTTTCTATTGTGAATCACTTGGCATATATCGTGGTGATATAGTTTACTAGTCGGTCCTAAGCCCTATATAAAGATGGAAGGTTGGGGATGGGGCTAGCAACTCTACCCCGTAAAACCAATCCAGTCGCTAAAGAAACTTCAAAGCACAGAGAAACAGATTATAGAAGAGATATATATTTTTAAAATCCGAATAAGGTGAAAAAGTGAATTTTTGATTTTTCGTGACATCATGGAAACTGCTCCTTCAGAGTATCCAAATTGTTTTACATGAAATTAAGATATACATGAAGCTTGACTAATTTTGTGAAATGTAAGTACCTAGTTTTCTTCTGAATGGAGGTAGTTCCAGTTCCAGCCTATATTTTCCGTTTGACGTGTGATGGACTGTTATGACATATGCGTTGAGCACATCATTGACTAATATCGTCTTTTCCAGCTGATGAAATGGTGTAGAAGTTTTCAGTAAGATTTGTTGCTGTGATTAGTTGAAATCTTTTCTTAACAATACACAGATGAAAGTTTCAAAGATGAATATAATATTACAGAAGGGTAGTAAACCAAAAAGTTTACGAGATTCAACCGACACGATGACGTTGACATTAGAAGGTGGTAGCTCACTTGAGAAATATTGAAACTATGCAATGCTGTCCAATAAACATCAATACTGGAGTCAAGAATACCGATAAAAAAAATTACTATGTGTACTGTAAGGACTGTCTTGAGTAGAAATGATTCAACACCGATTCCAGACGCATAGAGAAGTCTACCATCGATCAAAGAATGAAAATACAACAGAACTACTTAAAAAAATGATGGAGGAAGTGTATCTGCCACAGTGGTCAGATTCTATACGGACGTTAAGAAATGAGACAATAACGAAATTCTATTTGACGATCAAGATGGTAGGTGATAATGTGTGGATATATTTGTGCTGTGAGGTCAGTTTTGAGCCATACCACATAGAGTTTCCAGCTACCAGTCGGAAAGTCTACATGTCTCAAACCATCAGTCATCATGTCATGTTTCAGTCTGGGGGTCTTTAATTCTCCTGTATCTTAAGCCTACCTCGGCTAAGTGTGATTTATATAGATGAATTGATTTCAAAGTAGTTTTTATTAGTTTGGGATAAGTTGGAGAATCACTAAAGATGTGGAAGCACTGAATAGCTGTTTCGTCCTAGTATGGGGTTCCTCAGTAGTGCACACTGAAGGCTGTGAAAATAGTTGTAGTTACTGTTACAAAATTGTGACTCTTCTGAAGTAAGATACATTGAAAGCCTAATTAGTAGTGCATCATATGATTGGTTGTTGTAGTTTAAAGTAGTAGAGTTGGGTTAAATAGGCGAATACTTCTAAAGGAATGGGCTGGACACATTGATCGGTCACTGGAGAGCAGCCAATCTCATGTGTATCTAGACGTGATTGCTAACCGAATTCTGTCGATCATTTTACGATGTGACCAGAAAGCTTGGAGGCTCAGCATCGTGGTGGATTTTCAATGGATGTAAGTTGGTTGGAGGCAATTAGTAGGGAGCCGTTCTCTCCTTAGGCCTCGTACTTGTTGGCACTCGTTAGTAAGACGTATTTGTGAGCATGAGGGTACTGATATGTTCCCTGTGTGATTCGAACCCGTGTCACTAAGTGTTACAGTCAGCGACATTACCACTAGTTTAAGTTGGCATATAGAAATTGACATGTTCTAAACTTCATACAATTCATGTTAATCGTACGACTATAACCAGTACTTAATCTGTATGCCATTACGAATGTCGAAGTAAATGGGATGATCAGTAGTCTGGTATTTTATAATCATTTTGAGTATATTTTCTAAAAAAATAGTCTCACTTTGTTTTATTATTTTCAGAGTGAAAAAGCGATTTTCTTTCTCAAATGAGTGTCTATTTTGTACCTCGAGAAGTGAAACATGAATTAAAACAAAACTTGTCCACAAGTAGCTGTGGTAGTGGTGACCTGTCAGATGATAAACTTTTATTGTATGTTTCTTTTTCTTGAGCAAATCAATATCGTTCTTGTTTCCAAAATCAAGGTTGTACAATATATTCGGAGATTTAGTCATAAAAGCGTTAACTATTGTGGAGTGTGGTTCAATTACCATTGAACGATCGAAATCTCAACATCAAGTATTCAGAGTAATTTTGAATTTTCCGCCTCTTTTAAAATGCTATTATCATTTTTTTTCCAAGGTTGAATCAAGTTCAGGTGAATTAAACTACTGTTCAAGTTATACACGTTATTGTCGTTGTTTTAATACAATGCAAAAGTATTTAGATCCATTTTATGAATTATGGGTAAATATTTATTGAACTGTTGAATATTCTGGGTTTTTTCTTTTGCTTGTTTTAGTGTCAGCATACTTTGGCTATATTTTTAGCTGAAATAATGGGGAAGACAAGAGTTGTTCATTTGAATGATGAAACGTTTTGTCGTTCTTTAGAGGCGTTATTCGGTGGAGGTATGTGTGGTGTTAATACTGCCGTAAAAGATGCTAAATGAAATCAGAAATATTTTCAAAGTTATTTTCATGAATTGTTTGTAAAATAATTGGAATAAACTGTATTTAAACATTTTCAGAGCTTGTTTTGTATGCTTCGTAGACAGCTGAAGTGGTTCGATAGTTAGAAAAAAAGTAATACTTTAGGAATCATATGGATCTCAATGCATGTTTGGTGTTTCTGTTGGGGTAATGAAATAGTTTTGCACGCTTGAACATGTGTTGCTCATGTCACCTTTCACTATGTGCCATGCTAGTTGGATTAGGTTGGAAGGGGATTCAGGGTGGCTAGATTAAGATCTGTCACCAGTCGATGAAGTCTCTGACTGTTGATGTGAATCATGTAGGGAAGTGTAGACTACCTGACTACGGTCCTAGAGACGATAGGAATCAGTAGCTGAGGGTTCTTGGTGACATGGTTGAAAATCGGTTACACAATAGCACAAATGTATTCACTGTGAGTGATAGTCGGGCTATATCGTGAATTAACGACAGAAGTTAGAAGCCCTGAACCACTGAGAGCTGATCCAGTGGCTGAATGTTTAACACGTTCGTCGTGAGACCTAAAGGTCCTGAGGTCCTGGGTATCTTGATCACCTCTGTTATCTCTACGTCCACCTGAAGGAAGTTCCGTCTTCCTTCGTTGCCTCGCCTCTTTTGCCAACTTGTTAGTTTTCGCCTGTAGATCTTCGAGTTTGTGTGACACAAGATATTAGACATAAATCGTCATCATGGTGGAAATACAAATGTTGTATTGTTCTTTCATGTGTTCAACCAGAATATGCCCATGTTCTTGCTGCTCGTTGTTTTTTTGGGTGTATGATGCAGTGGAGCACAATCAGGAAGATGATGGTTGAAATTAGGTGGCAATTTTGTCTTACTCCTGTCCCTTGCCTTTACTTGGAAGGCATCACTGATCTTTCTATTGTGAATCACTTGGCATGTGGCGTTTTTATATAGTAGTTGAAAGAGATTGAAAAATGTTTGTGGTACTCCGCACTGTGGAAACAGTTTCCAAAGTTTCTCGATCGACGGCCTTTTCAAAATCGAAGTTGAGGTAGACAGTTTTCTATGGTATGCCTTCTCATCTCATTGGCAATCTGGGCAGCTTTGCTAGGTTCAAACATTGTTCGGACATTCCGTGTTCCCATTCTTCCTTTCGCTTTCATCGAGAGAATACACATCGGCCAATTGGCTTCCCGAAGTTTTTCATCAGATGGCGTTATTTCGTCTCCCTGATTCCAGCGAGGAAAAAGTTTATTTTCATACTTTCTTTGTGCTTTTAAGTTTCTTTAGCGGTTGAATTGGTTTTTTGATGTAGGATTACTGGCCCTATGCCTAACGTTCCCTCTTCATTCGAGCTTAGGACTGGCTCGTCACTAGTGAAGTAGTTACGTGGGCGAGGTTGTTCGTGATGAATACTACCTTCAAATTAAATAATCCCCATTCATCTCAAAAATAGTTTATTCGCTAAATTGTTTTTCATTATATGTTCACCCACCGTAGTCTGGATAGTAAGATTACTCCTCCCTGTGTATATGTGTGCCCACACACATGTGTAAATTGGTAAATGCAGTAAGATGTGAGAATCGCTTATGTGAGGTTAAGGTTCGTGGCGAAGCGGGTGCTTTGTTGTCTCAACAATGATGTACTGATCTGCATAGTATGTTTCACTGATAGCAGATTTTATTCTCTGTTTCAATATCACACTACTCGTTTCCCCTATATGTGGTACTTTAAGAGTCAGGCTTCCGAGGGTGACATGGAGGAGATGGTGTGAGGAAGAAATGAAAGCTTCTGAGCAGTCATGGAGCCCGGTTCAAAAGACTGGAGAGAAGAGAGCGAAATGGAGATGTGCTATTGAAGCCCTATGTTCCACTAGGAACTCAAGGGACAAATAATAATAATGATACTTTAAGAAAGGTGTGCTTCTTTAAGACCGAGGAATTTATAATCTTTGGAGTTAGCTGTGATGGATATTCGTTCTTCATAAGTGTGTCTGTCAGAACTTTGATCTCACCATCTATTGTATTAGATACGTCAGATCCTATTAAGTAAGCTTTTTCACCAAACCTCTTTTGTATTTCATTGGACGCAGGCTGTAGAATCTTCAACACTGTCTCATCCAAGTAGGCTTTCTATAGATTGGTCGTCTGATAGATCTTTCCTTGAATACAAGAGTATATCAAGAAATACAAGTTGATGGTCCTTTTCTTCCTCAAATTGTCAGGCTGATATGATCTTGTACGGCATTAAGTCTTTTCAACAAAACCATGGCATCCTCATCTATGTCACATATTACAATAATACTATCAACATACCTTCTAAAGAATGTGACATTATTGATTAAATCGTGAGCTGTTAGTTCAGTATGATGAAGCGTTAGTCATTCGTCTTTAAAGGCATCTCGAAAAAATTAAACAAACATACATGTTTTTAACCTAGGCATCGTTATTAGGAGCTGTAATAATTGTGTTCAATCTGTCTCTTGTTTATCTTCATTGTTACTAACCAGTGGGTGGGTTGAGATTCAAGTGTAGGAAGTTCTAAATTTCGTTGCTGTATATACACATCTATCCTAGTATATCGTATTATTTCGTATTCAGCGCTTAGATTTGAATCGTATCATTAGCAAAGATATTATTTCTTTCTAGATATCTTCTGGGATTAAAAAACTAGTTAGACAGTTGATAAGAAGTGGCCATAGACGTTGGAGTCGCTAAGCTTTCTTCAATTTTGATCTTTACTGCTTTGTGGTCAAAATGAACTTAGTGGACAGCCTGCATTTCCGCTGAGCCAATCAGAATAATTGAATTAATCTTTCCTGGATAACGTTTTGGACATTTCTGTTACTGCATGTATTTAATATTGACTTGATAGACAGGCATTCGGTTATCGATTTCTCCCTCCCTCTATCCAATTAAGTTAGTTTTTAATACTGTTACTCCATGCCACCCTACTGTGTAATCGTGTGTAATTGCGTGCACAGTTACAGCTGAGCTTTTTCTAAATTCCTTATCTTATTATGATTTACTAATGTTGATTTAGCTAAATTTTGTGCTCCATTATTCTAATCGATCCTACTTGACTACTTTACCTTATGTATTTGACCTCGCAATCGTTGCAAGGGATTTCAGGTTGGAATTCATCATGTACTGACATTAGCTAGAGGAGCATTCGGAAACTGAGGCATTGGACAGCTGTTTCGTCTTAGTATGGGATTCCTCAGCACTGTGCATCCATGAACCTGCCCCACCAGGGATCGAACTTATGATCTTCAGGCTCTGTGGTCAACTCGTTACCATTGAGCCACTGTGTCGGTATCTAATTATCCATTTTCCCAACTTCTGTCAGTTCAGTTCATTTGTTTTCCTCTCTCATGTCGTACACTTTTGTCAACTTTAATAGCGTTCACTCTTTGCCTGTTCACTTTTTCTTGGCTTTCTGGTCTGAAGTGTTACACACTAAATAGGTTCAGTTGTCTGAGTCCTACGATGACCTATCTGTCAGCTAACATTTAGCACCAAGGTATCGGCAGAAGTCTTACTGAACTGTTTATTTTGAGCATTGTCTGGTGAATTTCTGGTTTCTTTCCTCTTCTATCTAACTCACTCAGCCAAAATATTTGTATGTTTCAGTTAAACTGTTAGGCCTAATAGGAAAAATAGTTTGTAAGTCTTCACTGCTGGCTAAACTTTGTAATATTTTCTCTGGTGCAGTTTAACTACTTATACATCTTACTCAGTAGTATGTTTGTTTGAATATTGTTTCTGTAACAGGCTTACACGGCGAAGTTATTTTAATCAATAATTTCTTCATATAGATAATAATAATGATAATTATAACAAGATGGAAGCGTAAAGTTTCAAAATGATATACATGTTCGGCGATAATGACCTTGTAAATATTTCGTTGTCAAATAAATAAACAATTAAGCTTGTTAAATGAGATAAATACTAAATGTCCGTGGTGGTTGAACGTAAACAGTTCGATTAGAAATTAAAATTATTGATCATAAAGAAAAAAACTATATTGTTTAACTGATCAGAGAATGAAAGGAGGGAAATTCAAAATGAACTTTACATGAAGCATGGAAAATAAAAAGCTGGAGTGCAAAGAGAGAATGAAAATTTTAATACTATTTTTATTTTTTAAATTATTTTAGTGGATATTTATAATTTACTTTCTTCTCATTAAATAATTGATTAGTCTAAAGGTTAAAATAAGATATGACTTGAAAAAGTAGCGCAGCATTTGAATTTACCACACTTTAAAACAACAAAATGCATTAAATGTGAAGACAAAAAACAAAACTGTAGTCCAAGAGAAAAAAACTGAAGTGAACGCAAAAAAAAATGAGATTTTCAGGTGTTCTTTCCCATTAAAACAACAATGTGCTGAAAAAGTTGATTTCCATTTCATTTGTTGGTCAAAATTGAAGGACTGAACACATATATATATTCACAGATTGTTTAAAACATATATTCCACGTGTATACGTTGAGTTAATTAATAATGGGTTAACTTTTGTTCCAAGTGGACGTGATATATGTCTCATCTTTTATTTTACTTACTTACAGTTGATGTCATTGGTTTCTCCTGAAGTGGTGAAGTGTCTGAAAGACCAATGAAAACATTGTAAAATAGTGTTTCACTATAAATGTGAACACGGTAATTGAGATTTAAAACCTGTGACCAATTCTCAATGGCATTAAAAATAGTTTGGCATTCAATCTAACCATTTCATTCATAAATGACCGAGTTCATAGAATCTTCTGCATCATCGGATGCAATAGATGACACTTTAAAACAATACAGGTAAATTGTATGAGGTTTCCAATGGTAGCCGGTAGTAGTGAGACTAATATTTAGCAGCTAGTCTTAAACTACTCATTAGTAGTTAAATGATAAAAGTAAATATTTACAAGGCACGTGACAGCCGCAGCTGCCTACGCTCGATACAGAAGATCAGATGGCCAGAAAGAATAAGCAACAAGGAACTCTGGCTGGCAACCAACAGCCTATCGCCCAACAAATATGCAGGAGAAGAAAGTCGAGATGGATTGGATTGGATATACATTGAGAAGACTATTCGAGGACATCACGCGCCACGCCAGGTACTCGAATGGAATCCAAAGGGGAAACGACGAGTTGGGTGTGGATGTGAGGGTGACATGGAGGAGATTATGTGAGGAAGAATCGAAAGCTTCTGATGAGTCGTGGAGGCAGGTTCGAAAGACTGGAGAGAAGAGAGTGAAATGGAAATTTGCTACTGAAGCCTATGTTCCACTAGGAACCTAGAGGACAAATAATAGTAAATAATAATACATGATAGCCAGAAAAAATTGTAAAACCGTATCTAATATTATTAGGGAGCAGAACCTTGTACATTCTTTTTGTTCAAGAAATCGTAAGATCATCTGTGAAGATGAACTTTAATTCCTAATTAACATGCGATTGGACTGCGATTATCCGCCTACATTCGTTGAAAGCCACAAATTCAAACGGTACCTAATATCTAGACGAAATCTGAAATTCAAAGGTAGCCTGAGGAATTTCACACAACTAGATTGACAGTGTCGCTTTCCAGAAGACAATTAACTCATCAATACATTGAGGATGGATTACTGCTTCCGTTTACTTGTCCCTGTGGAGAAATGTAAATCAGTTGTATACAACGTCAAGTTCTTAAGGGCATTTCGGAACATTGTCCAACTAAGTTATCCGAAATAAAAAAGATGTCAATGCTTGTGTTCTTGAGCATTTTATCATCTTCACGCATATAATAACTGTAGTCAACACTACATTGGACAAAGTGGTCACCCTCTTCACCTTCGTCTACATGAGCACCAATTGACTATTAAACACCACGACATTTCGTTACTCATTTCAACGCACATGGATAATTATGGACATGGATTCAATTTCGATAATGTAGAAATTTCGGACGCAGAAAGGAAACACAAAGAATATCAGAGAATTCTTAGAAGCTTGGCATTCAGGTCAATCAGTCAGCAATCATTAGATGTATAGACATAGACCCGATCTATCAACCAATAAGAAAAATGATAAACGACAGAAAGGTCAGAGGTGAAGCAGAGGAACAGCCAACAGGAAAGTCAATACAATCAATGACACAACAATCGGAGGAAACAACCAATCACAGACCATTTCGTCAAGGTAAGCTACTAAGTCACTCACGGAGAGGTACTGCAGGTCACTTCATACTGAAGTTAGTGCTGATGATGTCATGCAGAAGGAAGATGAAAGCTTCATGATTAAACAACCCAGTTCAGAGAACACAATACAACCAAGACATGTATCTCCTTCTAGCGGTTCCTTTGTAAGTACCCCCTAACAATTTCCAAGAATTTTTTCGACTGTATCATGTATGCATAGTCAAGTCATTAGCAATTTACAACCTGAAACATGATCTCTGCGTTCAAAAACATTACAACCTTAGCCAAAGCTACTATATAGTAATTTTCTTCTGTCTGTCATTTGTGTTTATTTATTTACAGTAGACTGTTTTTTGTTTTCAATGACATTAAATACGATTTTACAGATTTAGCAAGTAAAATTATGGAGAAAAAAATTTTATTCGCTGATACATCTTTGTTTTATCACTTGATATAAGAATTTTCCATTAGCATAAATTTCTCTTGATCTTGTGTATTTCATTCATAAACAGATTGATTCTTCAGTTTATCTAAATGAAATATAATTCAGAACTATTTTGAAAGGATAATTCCAACTTATTTAAAAGTAAACCTGATAGAAAGTGGCCTAAATGGAAGTTAACAGTAAGTTACCAGCCGTTCAAATAAAAGTTTTAGATTTCATGTTACTGTGTGGTCAAGAAAAGCCTCATTGGACAGTTCTATCCTACAGTTGACCAATCGAAGTAAATATACAACTTTTGATCTAGTGAAGATTGTATAGACAGACATAATATGTTTTTGTCGAATAGTGTGTCTTCTTTATAATGACAGGCTGGTCTTTATCTTCTGATTTTCGCGGTTCTTTAACTTTCTGAGGGTGAACACTTGCTATTTGTATCCAATGCAAGTGTCTTATCTCGTGATTATTATTATTCACTCGGTCATTTGGATTTCTTAGCATTGTCAAACTGTTTTATAATACACAGACATAATGCATGCTAAAATCTCTCATATGTCTACATCTTTATTTTCAGAACGGTGTAAATTTGTTAATATTTGAGGAGCACTATGCTAATTTTCCACTTCTTGTTAACATTCGTCCTCATCTGCTTCTGAATCTCGTTTGTAATCTAACTACTCTACGCGTAATCAATCTTCCTAACATTCTTTTCAGTCTCCTCCAATTCAATTTGGGAGATTGTGGGGATTTTATTGACTTCAGGTTGGTATTCATCATAGACTGACATCAATTGGAGGAACATTGGAAACCTGAGAACACTGGACAGCCGTTTCATCCCTCTAGCATGGGACTGCTCCAATTTAACCGCCTTTTTATTAACCTGACTTTAAGTTAATTCCTGTCATGTATCAATGATTCCATTCTTGAATCGACCACCACCTGCAACTCGCCTGGTTAACTAGTTTACTAGTTACTAGCCGGTCCTAAGCCCGGGTAAAGAGGGAAGGTTGGGCATAGGGCTAGCAACCCTACCCCGTAAAACAAATCTAACCGCTAAAGAAACTTCAAAGCACAAACAAAATATAAAAAATGAAAACAAACTTATTCCCCGCTGGAATCGGAGAGGCGAAATGACGCCAGTTGGTGAAAGCCTTCGGGAAGCCAATTGGCCGATGTGTCTTCTCTCGATGAAAGCGAAAGTAAACGTGGGGACATGGAATGTCCGCACGATGTTTGAACCCAGTAAGGCAGCCCAGATTGCAAAGGAGATGAGAAGGTATAACATCGAAGTGCTTGGGATTTGCGAAAGCAGATGGAATGGGAGTGGACTCTCCAAACTGTCAACTGGAGAATCAATAATCTACTCCGGTCACCCAGACGCCAACCACGAGCACACTGAGGGAGTGGCTATCATGATGTCCTCAAGAGCATCGAAGGCTCTCATGCAGTGGGAACCAATCTCCTCCAGGATCATGACAGCAAGGTTCAACTCAAAAGGAAGAAAGGTCACAATCATACAATGTTATGCACCTACAAATAATGCAGAGCAAGAGAAAAAGGAGGATTTCTACAGACAACTTCAATCAACACTGGACAAGACGTCAGTTGGCGATATCAAAATTCTAATGGGCGACATGAATGCCAAACTGGGAGGGGACAACACGGGAAGAGAACTAACCATGGGTCGAGAGGCGCTAGGTGAAATGAATGAGAATGGAGAATTGTTTGCAGAATTCTGTGCATTCAACGATTTGGTGATTGGAGGCAGTGTGTTCAGGCACAAGGATATCCACAAAGCGACATGGACTTCACCAGATGGACACACTAAAAATCAAATCGACTTTATCTCAATCTCAAGAAAATGGAGACGCAGTCTACTTAACACAAGGTCAAGAAGAGGAGCAGATGTAGGTTCAGACCACTATCTAGTGCAAGGAACCTTCCAAATCAAGTTAAAAGCCTTCAAGGAAGCTGGTGATAGACCTCAATTCAAGTACAACACTCGGAAACTGAAGGATGAAACTACAAAGGAGATCTTCAAAGCAGCCATCAAGACAAAATGGGAGACGTCGAGGGACATCCCTGAAGAAACCTGTGTGGAAGAACACTGGAAGTCTTTGAAAGCTGTGTGGAAAGAAACCTGCACAGCCGTATTAGGAAGGAAGAAGAAAGAAGACAAGGAATGGATCTCGACGGATACCTGGAAGCTGATAGAGGAGAGGAGGATGGTGAAGCAGAAGATAAACCAGTGCAAGGATGCTCAACGACAAGAGGAACTGAGCACAATGTATAAAACACTGGACAAAGAAGTGAAGAAGAGTGCACGCAAAGACAAAAGACACTTCTACGACACACTGGCAAGTGAAGCAGAACAGGCTGCAGGTAAGAGAGACCTGACGACATTGTATCAAATAACCAGGTTGCTATCAGGGAAGAGACCAACACAGATGAAACCAATAAAAGATGAAGAAGGAAATTTAATTACAAAAGAAGAGAAACAGAGGAAACGATGGGCCGACCACTTCAAGAAGCTCTTGAATCGACCACCACCTGCACTTCGTCCAGAAATACCACCTGCAGCCGCTGAATTACAAGTGAACATAAATCCCCCAACGAAAATGGAAGTCCTGAACGCCATAAAGCTACTGAAAGGTGGGAAAGCAGCAGGACCAGATGGAATACCGCCAGAAGCACTGAGAACAGATGCAGAGACAACAGCGGACATGCTCACACCACTATTGCAGAAGGTGTGGAAGGAAGAGAAGGTACCTGACGATTGGAAGAAGGGTTACCTTGTCAAACTGCCGAAGAAGGGAGACCTCAGTGCTTGCAAGAACTGGCGCGGAATCACTCTCCTGTCCACCCCAAGTAAAATATTAAGCCGCATCATCCTGGAGAGGCTTAAAGACGCACTGGATTCAAAACTGCGACCGGAACAGGCAGGCTTCAGGAAGTACAAATCATGTGCTGACCAAATTGCAACGCTTCGTATCATCATAGAACAGAGCGTAGAATGGCAATCAGCTCTATACCTCAACTTCATCGACTTTGAGAAGGCCTTTGACAGCGTCGACCGAGAAGTAATTTGGAAACTGCTTCAATACTACGGAGTACCGCAAACCTTTATCCGCCTCATTCAACAACTATATGAAGATGCCACATGCCAAGTAATCCACAATGGGAAGCTCAGTGATGCCTTTGAAGTGAAGACAGGAGTGAAACAAGGTTGCCTACTATCCCCCATGATATTCCTTATTGTGGTGGACTGGATCATGCAGCAAACAGTAGGCAGCGAGAAGAGGGGGATACACTGGACGACGGAAAAGAACCTAGAAGACTTGGATTTCGCCGATGACTTGTGCCTAATGTCACATAAACTTGAAGATCTGCAGGCAAAAACTAACAAGTTGACAGAAGAGGCAGCTAAGACGGGACTTCAGGTGAATATAGAGAAGACAGAAGTGATGAAGATACCGCACCACCACCATCAACAACAACAACAAACTCCAATCACCGTCAACGGGAGAAACTTGAAGGAAGTAACCTCCTTCACTTATCTAGGAAGCACTGTTTCAACTACAGGCGGGACGGACGAGGACGTCAAAGTCAGAATCGGAAAAGCAAGACAGGCGTTCATTAGCCTGAAACCAGTGTGGAGATCTTCTGCACTCAGCAT